TTTTTTTTAAAGAAAAATTGGGATAACATGAATATCTTACCCCTATGATGGCTAAAAGGATTATGCAGTACCTAATGTACAGTGTTCAGCCCAAGCCCTGCACATGGTTAATAATGAAGAATTACCTATAATCAATAACCACGTAAGTCCTGCCTTATGAGTCAAGAGCCTGTGGGTGGCGCAAGTGGGAATACGTTTGGCTACTCACTTAAAGGTGGGTGGGTCCTGCCTAAAGGTTTGAAACTACCCAGAGCGCCTCAGAAGGCTTAGCGGTCTACTTCCAAAAGATCCCAACCATTGAAAGCCCTAAGGCACGCAGTTCTACTCTGAGACGCCTGGTGGCACCGTGAGTGCGAATAAAATTAGGGACTGAAATGGGTCAGGCGGGGACTGGTCACCGCTGCGTGATCACAGGCAAGCTGGCCTCTGTGGGGTTCACGTCCATCAGAAAACTGATTAAATGATTTAATCAAGAGTCCCTTCTACTTACAACCTCTTGTTTTAAAAGCCCAGCGTCTGGGACATTTTGGAATCGAGCAGATCCTGGGGCTGACCTGGGAAGCCTTTTAAAGGCAACCTGTGAGAGGCCACTGACATCAGGAGAGAGCGTCTGACCTGGCTGGAACCAGTAGTGGACATCATACTGAAACCATCCTCCGCAGCCTCTTCCCCGGGGCTGCGTTTGAGATGCCTCCTGAGGCTCAGGGCTTTCTCCCCTCAGCTTCCTTACGGGAGGCCCTTATAGGCAGTTCTTAATGGGTTTTTGTGTGTGTGTAGAGATAAGGAAGAAAAAACGTGCTTGACAACCTGGTCCTCCTCTTCTAAAGCCTTAACAACACCCCTTTGCTTTGCTAACTCGCTTTCCATGGCGACGCTCACACGCCCCAGCAGGAGCCCTTGCGGCCTGTAGGTGGCGCCTCTCACCTCGTTTCCACAGTTCACCTGGGCCCACCTGTCCCCTAACCTGCAGAGAATGGGCCTCTAACCTGGAGGATGGGCATCTGGGGTCCTCTGGACGAGCCAGGAAAGCTGATGGACACGTGAACATGTTCTAAACCAGCCAATTAGTGACTTAATGTCCTGCTTTTCAAACCTCTGGGAAGGTCTGTTTCAGGTGAGTTCATTTTCATGCAAGAGTCCAGGACGGTTGTTCTCAGCCTTGGCTGCCCACTGGAATCATCTGGGTGTTTAAAATTACTGAGAGTGGAAAGTCTGATTTAATTGGCTTATAACCGCCTAAGGCGCCCACGTAAGTCTGATTTCATTGGTTTATAACCGCCTAAGGCGCCCAGGTGGTGCTGTGGCTTAAGCATTGGACTGCAAGGTTGGCAGTTCAAACCCCTCAGCCCACCGGCTTGTTCCAGGGGAGGAAGATGAGACTCTCTGTCCCCATGGAGACTTACAGTCTCTGAAACCCCAGGGAGCATCTACTCTGTCTTACAGGGTGACTATGACTCAATGGTAGTGTGTGAGCAATACAACCTAAGGTTTGGGCTTGGAAAATCTCCTGAGTTGATTGAGAATCATTAGTTTAGCAAGTGAAGAGCCACAGGGAGATTTAAATTATTCCTCCTCACCTCATTGCTGTCAAGTTAATTCTGACTTACAGTGATCCTATAGGACAAGGTGGAACTGCCCCTTTGGGGTTCTGAGACTATAATCCCCCCCCCCTTTTTTTTAAATCATTTCATTGGGAGCTCTTACAGATATTATAGTAATCCATAATTCAATTAGATCAAGCATAATTGTACAATTGCTGCCACCACCAGTTTCAAACCTTTCTTTCTTCTTGAGCTCTTTGATATCAGCTCCCCTTTATCCCTTCCTCCCCCACCCCTTATTATTATTATTTGCCTTATCTTACAGCATCAAATGTATCTCTTCACCTACCATTCTGTTACTCCTTCTCCTCAAGTGGGGTTATAAAGTCACCATTGCTCTGGGTTCCCCCTTCTCCCCCTCTCTTCCCATACCTTCAGGAAATCATTATTCCCGTTACTATTTCTGAAGGGTTTATCTATCTTGGATTTCATGCATCAAACAATCTTAATTATACAAGTGAACATACGTAGGTCTAACAAGATTCATGAGGTAAAACTAAATCTATCAAAGGGGAGGGAGTAGAAAAACCTCCTTTTTTCATCTGCAGAACAGCTGGTGGTTTTGAAATGCTGACCTTGAGGTTAGCAGCCCAGCACATAACCCAACACGTCAAAAGGGCTCCAGCCTAAAGACTCAGACACTGCAAACAGCACCTACATTACACTTATTGGGGCAGGACTTGGGAACTGGAGAGGAACTGGAGCCAAGACCCATCAGATTACTTACATGAAACAACAACAATAGCAATACAATGAGAAGTAAACCTTCCAGGAAGGCTACCACCTAGATTATAAGTTTTCAGATAAGAAGAAGAAAGCTGCTGCTTTGTTTCTGAAAACCCAACCGGTGAAAGCCCTATAGATTACCACGAGTTGAGGCAACTCAATGCTGGCTAACACATGTACACCAAGGCTAAGGAAAGAAGCCACTTCGGCAATAACAACACCAACAACCAAAAACTCTGCCATTGAGTCCATGCCAACTCATAGCAACCCTGTAGGGCAGGGTAGGACTGCCCCGCGTGAGTTTCTGAGACTGAAACTGCTCACAGGAGGAGAAAGCACTGTCTTTCCCCTGCAGAGTGGGCTGATGGTTTCGAACTGCGAACCTTGTGGATCGCAGCCCAATGTGTAACCTTCCGCCATAGGATTTGTAAAGTATGCTGTCAAATTAGTAGAAGATAAGACTTACAGGGAAGTATGTCTACATATTTGTGAGGCCTGACAGTGAGCTGTCCTAATCCCAATGGGTAGGGCTCTCTCTCAGGTCACTCACTGACCTCTGTGTAGTACTTCCCCTTTCTCTGGTGACGTCTTTTTCCTACTTCTTGAGTCTGGACTTTTTAACCACTCAGGAACCATTTTTCTACACACTTCTTCAATATCCCTGTAGGTTCCAAATAACCTAGG